GAATGCTAAAATTAGGCTGAAAATGCAAAATTAAAACAAGCTTAAGAAGAACATGAAACCAGATTCACGAATCTAGAACCCAACAAACCAAAAACATTGTAAATTACAGAGTTTTCTAATTGTTTCAGTTTTTATATTTTTGTATTATATGTTTTATATATCTCATTTTTTTTTATTTTCTTCATTCCATATAATTATAGTAAAATTTATAAACAAAAGGGGCAATATTTTAAGATTGATAATGATGAAACATATCTAGAAGATATTAGAAATAATCAAGGTCTACTTCAGAAAATAGTGCAGTTACAATATACTATAAACCTGGAGTATGAATTTATTCCTGATCAAGGAAATGGTGAAGGTGATAATACTGGTTGTGCTGATATGAAAAAATAATAATTTTTTTTTATTTGTATATTGTTGTTTCGGCAACATTTTTTTTATTTTTATAATAAAGGTTCTGAGCACTAAAGTATCATCATTTTGAAATATGATATTTTGGAGTAACTTACATGTGTTGCATAAAATAAAGAGGGTTCTGGTATATTGTGCTATTATTACTTTACTTCTAAAATTATGCGTATTTAATAAGGGCTAAAGATTTATTTTTTAATTCTTTTTTGTGTAGAGTATTAGGAACTCTCATTTTAGCCTCGAAGTTTTTCTTGTATTCTAAGAAATTGGTCTCACTCATAATCTCACGTTCTTTTTTCCAATAATTGTTGTTATCTCGTAATTCAAAGCCAATCTTGTCTCTACATTGTTCTAACCTTTCTTCTGATATTTTAAATTTTCGCCATAAAAGAAGGATAAGAGTATCTATATCTAATTCGTTTTTGATAAGAATTTCTGGTAATTTTTTTGAATCGATAGATATACTTACCTCTGCATTAGTTTGATTAGCATGATTTTCGATGAAATTTTTTTTAGTTTCCTCACTTACTTTAGTTTCTGGTAATGTTTTCTTGGCTTTCTCACATGCTTCAGTTTTTGATATTGAATCGGTGGAAACAGGTTCAGTCGTATGAGTGTGTGACTTTTGGTCATGCAGTAAAGCATCAGTATTAATGAAATGCTTCTTAATTAATCAATTTGCATATCAGTTAACTTCGAGAGTTTATTTGCACTGTAAGATTTAATTCGCTTAATTTTATCTTCTCTAATTGTGCTAAATAATTTATATATAGATTTAGTTCTTTGTGTTCTTTTGTGCAAGTTTACATAAGAAATACCTGAAAGATATTGTAGCATTTCATCATAAATCTGTCCACTTGCTAAATCATTGGCTCTCTTATCATTTCTTTGATTTTCAGGTAAAATGTCATCAAGTCTTTTTTTGAAATATTTTCTATATTGATACCAGCTCGTAATTTCTTCCAGCTTGGCTCGCATAGTATTATTTTCTGCCAAACTTGTTTTTTCAAATAGATGGACCAGTTTGATTGCAGGTGATCAATCAATAGCAAGACCTTCCTCTACATTAACAATTCTAATACAATCTTCTTCTGAATATTCTAGAAGTAATTTCTGTATCAAAGGCAATATATCTATTTCGGATGCTTTTATTTTCTCAAGTTAGTATTTTGCAAGTTAGTATTTTGCTCTTTAGAGGATTGTTTTAATAAATCAGAGCCATTAGAGATTGGTTGTGACTTTGTGAATGACTCCAAATTTTGATCATATAATAATTTCGGATCTTGATCGTTAACAGTTTCTATAACATGAGATAAGTCAGAGGAAATGTCTTGGATAGTTGATCCACATTTAAGCTTTCTTTCTCTATTGCGTTGCCTTATCTTGTTACTAACTCTTTCCTTTTCTTTTAGATCTAGAAAATCATCATCTGCTTTGTCTTCTGGAGATTTGGGCTCTGTATTAATCAATTGACATACATCAAAATTTGATATGTTATCTGATATATCAGATGCGAGAGCATCCTCACTTTGTGAGACTATCTGTTTATGATTATTGATAGAATTTATTTCAGAAGAAACAGGTACTTCTTCACT